TTTTTTTATTAAGAGGCTTTTGATTACTAATTTAATATCTTATTATAAGTCTGTTGAGATTTTCTGTTTCTTCCTGAGTCAGTCTGGGTGTGTTTGGAGGGATTTGTTCATTTTTTCTAGATTATCTAATTTGTTGGTGTGCAAATGTTCATAGGATTTTCTTATAATCCTTTTTATCTCCCTGAGGTCGGTAGTAATGTCTCCACTTGCGTTACTTATTTTAGTTATTTGAATAGTCTTCCTTTTTTTTTTTTTTTTTTTGCCAGTTAGCTAAAGGCTTCTCAATTTTGTTGATCTTTTTAAAGAACTAACTTTTAAACAATAGACTTTCTTTATTGTTTTTCTGTTATCTTTTTTTGTCTGTGCTCTGATCTCTATTATTTCCTTCCTTCTGCTAGTGTTTTAGTTCCTTATGATGTAAAGTTGGATTATTGATTTGAGATCCTTCTTTAATACAGCATTTGCCGCGGTGAACTCCCTCTGAGACTGGCTCTCACTGCCTCCCTAAGTTTTTTCCAATGTGCTTTTCATCACATTGATTTACAGCCGTAAAACCAACTTAGATGTTTCATGTCGTTGAAAAAGCTCTCAATTACGTTAGGGGAGCAGCTGCAGACTTTTTGTGACTTAGTATTTCAGAAATTTTGCTGCAATATCTGTAATTAGATAGAGCCGAATGGTTAGCAGCAGACGTATTCGAGTCACACACCACCGAAGTACGGTACCAGCGGCAAACCCACAGGGGCTGCAGCAACCTCAAAGTGTTACCAGCGCCAAATCTGCAGCGGGCTGCAGCAACCTCAGTTCTTGCCTCCTCAGAAGAGAGACTTCAACTGAGGAGCCTAAAGCAGAAGGAGAGACAGAGGCACGTCTCAGAGCAGGAGTGGGTTTATCAGAGAGCTTCAGAACAGGAAGAAAGGGAAGGAAAGCACACTGGGAAGAGGCCAAGCGGAGACCTGAGAGGTCACGTGCATGGCTCACCTTTGGCTTGGGGTCTCCCACTGTTGTGGGACTTTTGCTCGGTTCAGCTAAAGACGGGGTCCTTGTCACACTGCCACAAAAGATGAGGCTTGTAGACAATTTGAAGGGTGAGAAAGGCAGGGTTTTATTGGGTAGAAAGGAAGAAAAGGGGAAACAGAGGCTCTTAGTGAAGTGAGAGAGTGTTTCCTGCCAGTGCACTTCCCACCTCACCGAATGGATCCCAGGTTCACCTGGGAGGAGGAGGGGCCGGGCTCCTCCCCGCTGCAAATGGCGTGAGCCTCTGTGTCTCCCCCGCAGTGCGCATTCCTCCCAGTGAGCAGGCCGGTCGGAGAGTCTCTGGGGGCCCCTTCGCACCTGGCTGTCTCAATACATTGGCCGACTTCCAGGGTCTTGCGTGATTTCTCCCCAGACGCTTCCCTGGCGGTGGGCTGTCTGCATGCACGGTGGCTGCCCGCACTTGGGAGGGCCGCACGCCCAGGGTACTGACTGGAGTTTTGCACGTGCTCACTTGAGGTGGTCCCTTACCAGTCGCGTGTTCCTAGAGGGAGGTCATAGGCCAGGGAAGCTCCGCCATTTTGCCTCGTAGTGTGTGTGCTTGAGCCCACTCGCCCAACTCCTGAGATCTCATCGGGAAGCTGCTCATCACCAGTTTCAGGTTTTTTCTGTCTCTTGGGAGGTGGCCGTTCCCTGGTGCTGGCTGAGACCAATTATTATTTTAGAGAGACGGTTAACAGCTGCCTGACCGTCACCTGATAGCTGCCTGAAGTTCTTGGTGTGGGGCGGGGGCCTCTCCTGCCCCGCTCGTGTTTGACTAGCTACCTACTATAACGAAATGAAAAGCAAAACGATGTCAACCTAAAAGGAAGAAGCTGAGGCAAAAGTGGTATAAGTAGAGAGTTTGCCTGGGCCAAGCTTGGAGGTTGTCATCCGGAAGCATCGATTCAAGAGGTCCTGAACATGCATTCCAATTAGAGGCAGTTCCAAGTGGGTTTTTAAAGGGAAATAAGAGGCAGTTCCTGAGTTGTTTGCCAAGAATTTACATTAAAATAACTTAAGCTATTAATTGGCTGTATATTGTTAAGCTTTAGAATGTGGGCGATAGTGGCCGGTACAACATTGCCAGGTTAATTTACAGTTGCTTATGGCAATAGCAAGCAGTTTAAGGAGACTCAGAGGGGGAGTTTCTTAGCTCGTGGTGAAAGACTATCTTGCAACTTTCAAATATACGTGTCATTTACTTGCGTTACTTTAGGAGAAAGAGAAGACGCTGCTTCTGCACCAGTGGCCCACGGCTGACTTCCAAGGCGGCGGGACGACCGAAGGATATTTTCTTCCAGGTTTGTAGCAGGACAGACAGACCCATGGGCTCCAGGTACAAGGAAAGGGAAGGACTTGAGCCCAATTTTAAACACGTGGTGCTTTTAAATTCCCGTGCCCTGACATGAAGCCACCTGGCAATAACTCCAGATAATGTCCGTTCAGCATTTGACGCGTGACAGGCACCTGAGTGCTCTTCAGGAATGAGCTCATGAAATTCCTTTTCAATAGACAAAGAAGCCAGAGCCGGGACCTTCTGACTGTCCATGAAAAAAGTCAAACTCTGTGAACTATTTGAAGGGATTGATGCTGGGCCACATGTGAGGAGCGTGACGCGTGACCCAGCCCCAGGAGGTCCTGAGAACGTGGGCCCCACGGTTGTTGGTTTACAGCTTGATTTCGTACATTTTAGGGGAACAGGAGTTACAGGCAGAGACATCAAAATACGTGTCTGGTGCCCACTGGTTTGGTCCAGAAGGTGGGACAACTCAGAGGGGAGGCTTCCAGCTCACTGGCAGATTCAAAGACTTCCTGATTGACAATTTGTTGAAAGAGTTATTATCTGAAGACCTGGAATCGATAGAAAGGAATGTCCAGGTTTAGATGGGGAGTTGTGGAGACC